GACACAGGTGAGATCACCTGGATAGGTGTGACACAGACAGGTGAGACAGGTGAGATCACCTGGACAGGTGAGACAGGTGTGAATGGGACAGGTGAGGTCACCTGGACAGGTGTGAGACACAGGTGAGGTCACCTGGACAGGTAACACAGACACAGGTGTGACAGGTGTGAATGGGACATGTGAGATCACCTGGATAGGTGTGAGACAGACAGGTGAGACAGGTGAGATCACCTGGACAGGTGAGACAGGTGTGAATGGGACAGGTGAGATCACCTGGACACGTAACAGACACAGGTGTGACAGGTGAGAGCGACACAGGTGAGACAGGAGCAGCAGAATTTTGAGTTGAAATTCCCAAAATTCCCAAACCTGGGGATTCTCCCCCCCACCCTGGAATTTTGGGTGGGAAATTTGGGATTTTGGGAATTTTGGAATTTTGGAATTTGGGGACTTTTGGGATTTTGGGAATTCAGAATTTTGGAATTTTGGGAATTTTGGGAATTGGGAATTTGGGAATTTTGGAATTTTTGGATTTGGGGAATTTTGAGATTTTGGGAATTGGGAATTTGGGGATTTGGGGAATTTTGGGAATTTTGGGAATTGGGAATTTGGGGAATTGGGAATTTGGGGATTTGGGGAATTGGGAATTTTGGAATTTTGGGAATTGGGGAATTTTGGAATTTTGGGAATTGGGAATTTGGGGAATTTGGGAATTTGGTGAATTTGGGGATTTGGGGAATTTGGGAATTTTGGGAATTTGGGAATTTTGGGAATTGGGAATTTGGGGATTTGGGGAATTCGGAATTTTGGAATTTTGGGAATTTGGGGGTTTTGGGAATTCAGAATTTTGGAACTTTGGGAATTTTGAGATTTTGTAATTTTGGGATTTGGGGAATTCGGAATTTTGGAATTTTGGGAATTTGGGAATTTGGGGGTTTGGGGAATTTGGAATTTTGGAATTTTGGGAATTGGAGAATTTTGGAATTTTGGGAAATTGGGGAATTTGGGGATTTTGGGAATTGGGATTTCGGAATTTGGGAATTTGGGGAATTTGGGGAATTTGGGGATTTGGGGAATTGGGAATTCGGAATTTTTGGGGAATTTGGGGAATTTTGGGATTGGGGTGATCTGGGGGCTCACCTGCGTCTGGGGGCAGGTGGAAAACACCCAGGGCCAGCAGAGTGATGAGCACGCACGGAGCCAGAACCGTGGCCAGGTAAAAGAGCGGCTTCCGACGCAGCACCAGGTGAAAGGAAACGCCCACAGGTGAGCCCGGGGGGCCCCAGGTACCCCCCGAGCGGTG